AGAGGGGCGCTTCCGTGCGGGGACGGGAGCGCGAACTACCTGGACACGACCGCTCGAGAGCGGTGCCACAGGCGGAATATGCGCGTGCACCGGCCTGCACAACTTTTATAGCCCAGTCCAGCGACGTAGCTACGAGAAGATATACACGAGTCTCACGCCGGCAAATGGAACGCACATAATAGTTGTATGTTGATTAATCTTTATTGGTCATAATGTAAGAATTGTAATTGGCTAGGCCAATAAAAATTGTTATTATTGGTAAACTAACGACGTAGCCGGACATATAAATATAGACAGGGTTGACGTAAAATGTATTCCATATTCCATATTCAATACTCGATACACCATTCATTTGCACATAAAATTAGTAGTTTCATTTCTCCGTCACTAGGCCACTCGGAATCTGTTAATAGTGGACCTCATATCACTACTATTGCAAAAGTGAGGTTGTGATTTATCAAAAAAAAACATTACTCATAAACTACACATTTTCGCAAGGGGAAGGTTAGGGGGGGGGCTTCTCCTGCACCCAAAATCCCTCTCCCCACCCCTCTCACCCCCTTACGCAAGTACCGGTTGTCTATATTTCATCCGTTTGGTCAATAATTCGTTTATGCACTATTTGTCTGATACGATTTGGTCGAGCATTGTGACTTAAGTTTAAAGTTTGGAATAAAAAGAAGTTACTTAGCGTTAAAATAAAAAAAGTAATTCAAATCAGCTTAATAAACCGACTGGCAACCTGAAATAGTCGGCCAAAATAATAAATAACTTGTAAACGAATAAAAACCAATAAAGGAATATACTTTAACCGAAATAACATTTTTGTAAACCGTATTAAATATCCAAAACTAACGTAAAAAGATAACCTAAAGTCTAAACTAAGGAAATTAAAATTACTAAAAGAAAAAAAAATTAATAAATACGAATGCAATGTAAAATTCAATGTTTTATAAAAGGTTAAACAAAACGTAATAATTTTATGTAGGAGCTACAAAACAACGCTTTTATAATTTGCTAATAAAGGATTTTAAAAAAGGTTATTCATATTCCCAAGTTATATAAGCAAAATAACATGATCATTTATAGAATAGTGCAGAATATTGACCTAATTTTGAAATATAAAGTTTTTTTTTAAAGTGGGTAGTTAAACATTAAAATTGTTCCAGAAATTTCTAATATTTGGCTAAATTAGACTTTTAATATTTATTATTTAATATTAACTTTATAGCCATACGATATTTAGATGATTTATACAAAATCCTTTGGAGGCTGAGGTAAACTAGGATGAATTTTATAGGTACTAATGATTTTTAAGGATAAAGGAACACTTATTTTTTATCGAATTTGCTGGAAACTACACGAGCTCGTTGTATGCCCTTTCAATTCAATTCGCCATACACTTGCAGGTTAAAATTCACGACCTTCTTCCTTCAATCTTCCGGTCACGATCCGCCGTTCCGCGAAATTTTACAAATTTCTTGAAATTTTCTTATTTCAATTTGTCCCCCCCCCCTTACAACACTGGCGTATTTATTGGTGGCATATGTCTTTAGTTAACATTCGGTAGCAAATAAAGATGTAATAAACTAATTATTTTAATTTTCTACCAATTAAAATAATTAGTTTATTACAAATTTGTTACCAATGTCACTTAGAACTCTCGGAAAGAAGAGGCTCTAGAGGCTTTAGAAGAGGCTCGGTTCACGTTTAACCGATCATGCGAGGAGATCTATTTATGACTTTGCCTCCCTTCATAGTTACTTTCTGCACGCTACCACCGTGTTTGGCATTCGGGCATTCGGTCATTCGGTCATTCGCCGTATCGGCAGATGGGGACGGAATGCGGTCTTTCTTTGCATCCTACCCATGGGAACGGGTTTGCTTCTTGCCGGATAATCGCAGCTCTGTTGCTAACTCTGTCACTGATGTGATGCCACAGGGAATGGCACTATTTATTCCACCATCTGTGGTACCCAACGAAGGCAAATCTCAACCTTGGTTTGATCGTTCCTGTAAGTCCGCATAACGCAGCAAGCAGGAGTGTTATCAGGCCTGGACTGACGCTTCGGCGGCGCTTGATGTAAACACCAGCAAGCTTAAAAAGAAATATAACTTCGCTTCTAGGTCCCTCAAAAGAGTTACTGCCAAGACAAAGTAATTAGCATAAAATTAGTTCGCCTTCCTTCGGGAACCCGGGCATTCCGGTCTCTCGCCAAGGCTGTCTAAGGGAATTTCCGTAAGCTATATCACTACCATCTCTGCACAGGGAGGATGACTCACTGGCCCACGCCGCAAAAGAGAGAGCCGATCTTTTAGGCTCTCTTTTTGCGTCCAACTCTACTCTCGACGACGGGGGGAACATATCGCTGACCATCTGGAGGTGTGAGTGCTCTATGCCTGATATGCGATTTACACAGTGCTCAGTACATAAAACACTCCTCTCTCTAGATATCCACAAGTCGAGAGGGAAATTCTCACCAATTGTGAATTGACGTGTGCTGAAGACGTGTGCTCTAGAGCTAGCACCGGTTCTAACGCGTCTTTTCTGGTATTCCTACTCCCTACCAGTGGTACGCAGCGAGCGGTCACTCAGCGGGTGATCTTCTCGTTTATCTAACACACCGATAGGTACAAGTGATCGAATCCAAGGGGGAGGCTTTGGCGGTCAGTTTGGACACAGCGAAGGTTTTCGATCGGGTTTGGCACAAAGCGCTTCTCTAAAAGCTTCCTTGTTATAGGCTTTTCGAGAAATTGTGCAATTGCATCACCAGTTTTCTGGCTGATCGGAGCATCAAAGTCGTAGTAGATGGTGCTTACTCCGATTACACGCCTATTGACGCTACTGTCCCTCAAGACTGCTTGCTATCACCACCGCTGTTTCTTCTGTATATCAATAACATGTTGCAAACCGCTAACAAACATCGCTATGCGGACGACAGCACTGGTGATGCTTAATAAACCGGCAGTGCCAATATTTTTGAGAAAACGTCATCGAGTATCCGAACAAACTTGTGACTGAAGTCGAGACATTGTTGACAAAGTCTTGGATTAGGGGCGACTAAATCTAGTACAGTCCAAAATCTAGAAGGCACACGTTTGCGCGTTTACCACTGAAAAGAACCCCTTGTCGTATCTCCTCAATTTTAGGGCACTCTCCTTGTTTCCTCAACCATTATCGGAATCCTCAACGTCAACATCGAATGACGTGCAGTTTCGTGATCACTTGGAAGAGAAAGTCAAACTGGCCTCTAAAAAATCTGGCGTCCTCAGCAGAGCGGGGCAAAGTTTCATGCCGGTACACCGCTTGCGGCCCAGGTTTGGCCTCAAGTGGAATACTACTGGGTGCCCCAATGCCAGCTCCTTCCATTTGATTGCATCCAGCCCACAGCGGTTCGAATCTTCGGCGACCGAGCACTTTCTGATCGGCTTGATTCACTAGCACTGCGAAGAGATGTACATCTTTTTGCGTTTCCTATCGTATTTGAAACGGGGAATGCTCAGAGGAATTTTTCGGACTCATTTATTTCGCTCAATTTCAATATCGCACTTCGCGACAGAGCTCGAGATACAATGCTTACCACCTGGATGATTGGAAGTCCACTAATATGCGATTTTCCAGAAGTTTTCTTCCCCGCTCAACTTCCTTGTGGGATCGACTGTCACAGCAATTTTTCCAGACCGATACCGGGGGCTTCAAGAAAAAAGCCTACTCTTTTTTTAAAGGCTGGCAACGCATCTGCAATACTCCTGCTGTCATTCGTGGGCGGCGGTAGTCACTTACCATCAGGTAAGGCGCATGCTCGTTTGCCCCCTCTCGTATAAAAAAACCAACCTAAAAAACTTTGTTTGAAATTGGCTACAGTTGTCTATGTACTTTAAAAGCCATTTACTATTAGGTGGATAGTTAGTTCGTTGATAACTTCGGTTAAATTTAAAAAAAACTTCGACAGTTAATTCCTTCGCAAAAAGGAAATAAAGATGCAATATTTTATATTTAACTTCCCTGTGGGAAGTTATTGTAATGGGTACGATTTAGCAAATTGGAAATTTTAACATATCTACACGTTTCAAGGTCTTTAGAGTCGAATAGTATGGTTTTTAAGAGGATGTCCGTGTGTGCACATGTACGTATGTATGTATATATGTTCGGATTCAATTTTCGCCTCGTGTATCTCTAAAACAAAGAGCATGAGACCAGTTTCATTTAACACATAATTATGTAACTTAGACCTGATTAAATTTTGAACAAAATCGGTCAAGTCGTTTATTGTGCCGAATGAAAAATTATATAAAATATTAAAACATGTGATATTTTGTTATTCATTCTACTGGGAAATTAGTCGTGTGGACCTTTCAGCGGATTATTTTAAGCAAAAAATAAGGATATAGAAATATGCAGCAACTAATGTTCGAAAGTGAGAGATGAGAACCATATCTGTTACGAGTATTCATACAGAAATACATCCCAATTGGGATATTTATGGCTTTTAAAATCATATCTTAAAATTGAACAGACAGTTACAACTTTTTCATATTTTTATAGTGGCTCATACACATAAGCCATGAAATTATTATTTTTATCATTAAGACTACAAAGTTTTTTAATAGGAAAGACCTTTGTAGCTGCAAAGATTTATGGCTATTATCAATAATCGAAAATAGTTTAAAATTCAGCAGTGTCAATTCGGTATCCATCTCTATCTGCCACCTTGCTGACCCAACCTATAAGATAAAAATAAACACAATAGACAATTAATGATGGTTTTACTGATTGCCTGACTTGATTATGCAACTTTTATACACTTATAAGGTTAGACCTTCTCAACTTTTATTCAGTTTACTATTAACCAGATAACGTAAATCGTACAATGAAATACACGTTTATTTTATTCTCTTTTGCGGTAATAAAAAGTGTCCACAGTTATGTTGTTTCCGAAACAAAAGATGTAAATAATTCGACAGATTTATATGAGAACCGAACATCAAATTATAAATTTATGGAGAAAAAACATGAGGCGTGGAAAACCTTCACCGCGGAAGAGCGTGGCGTGTATCTGGATGATGTATTGTATGCTTTGAGAAATCAAAACTGGACTACGGAAGAGGAGCCTTGCTTGAACGAAACGTTGCTGGTATTGCAAAATTTGAAAAATTTTACTTTACAATCCGTGTGGCGTAAGTTTTTAAAATTTAATACTTTACCAGCAAATATTATATTTATTTTAAGTATTAATGTTTAAGAACTGTTTAGTGGCGTACCCTATGTGGTCCTTAGGTGTCGTAAATAGCGACATAGGGAAGCAAACCAGCAAAGAAGAAAACTTCTATACGTGTTGGAGCTACGCTGCAGTTATATTAAGTAGTATAGTTGTAGCACGAATGGGTCGGCTCGACCGGGGGAAGGATCACGCTCTCACAGAATACCGGAGTAAAATAGAAGCTTAATGCTCCTATGTTTCGTATGGTGAGTGTAGAGAAGCGGAGACCCTTTTTACTAGAAACGAGGCATTCCATCTTAGTTCTCACGGGTGACAACACATCTGCGTTTTTATTTGTAATCGAGGATAGATGTAGATGTCTATGGGCCGCAGCAATCACTTACCATCAAGTGGACTGTGTGCTAGTTTGTCACCCTATCCTATAAAAAAACTGTAATGCCAATCGAGGCGACCATGGTAAATATCCCCCCTTAAAAGGCAATTAATGTGGAAGCCTATGTCCAGTTCAGCGTTTTGGTAGTCTGTGAATTTTTTTTATTATTCTAAACCGGCACTTAACTACAATCCCACCTGATGGTAAGTGGTGATATAGCCTATGATGGTGAAGTGCCCTGATTTAACAAAAACTTATTCACTCTTGCTTTGAAAACACCTACATTGTAATCGGAAGGAAACATAGGTGCTGGCAACTTCATTCCTTTGCGGTACGCGTGATAAACGATGTACCAAGCCGTTTGGTTCGAATGCGTGGCAAATAAACAACGAAAGGGTAATGGAAAATGACCGACCGTCTGGTTGTGCGATGATGGATGGGAGAGAAGAAGAAGAGAGAAGCGTTTCTCTTCACTGCAAAGCCAAGCCAAGTCATCTTGGCTCCTTTTTGCAGTGAAGAGAAACGCTTCTGTTTTGGAGGCGTTGAATTTCACAAAATTGGAATCGCCCCATTCTGAGACAGCCTGTAGTGTGAGATTCACACGCTCTACCATAGCTTCTCCTTCGGACTGGATTTGATCCCGACTAACCTGAGGACTTGGTTGGTATCTCTCCACAGCTGTACTGTCGTCAGCATATCCATAGATACAGGACATAAGCAGATCATTAATATGCAGCAGAAAGAGAGTTGCGAAGAGAACGCATCACTGGGTCGGCGTTAGTAACCACAGGATCGGATGAGCACCCATCGACGACGACTCGGAGAGACCGTTCACTCAGAAAGTCCTTTTCCCAGTCAAACAGACCAGGGGAAACGACGTAGGCTGGAAATTTACCCATAAGGCTGCCAAACTCTGTCGAAGGCCTTTTAGACATCAAGGGAAACAGCAAGTCCTTCCCCATTGTTCTCGAGTGCCTCACCCCATACATTAGTGGTATACGCTAGAAGGTCCCCAGCTGTCCGATTTCGGCGAAACCCGGTTACTAAAGAGGTCAGTCTGATCTAGGGATGCCATTAAGCGGGCGTTCAATATACTCCCCATAATCTTGCAGAGTGTGGATGTAATTGAGATTGGCTGATAATTGGCAGAGTTGGCAAGGCTGCTTTTTTTTGGAACAGGCTGCACATTGGCCAGCTTCTAGGATTTTGGCACCATTCCAGTGATAAATGCGAGGCGTAACAAGCGTGTCAGCACAGGAGACTACTTAGGTGCACATGCCTTTAGAACTATAGCTAGTATACCGTCTGGTCCATTAGCTTTATTCACGTCTAGAGACCGCAAAGTTTTAAGAACTTCCTTATATACAAACCTCGGACATCGAAGCCCCGCAGTGAGGTAATTTATGTGGAACGTTGTAGCCACCGTCCAGACGTGAATTGTAGGCAAAGAGAGACGCGAACAAGTTCGCTTTCTCTTTAGCCATATGCGCCAGTGTGTCATCAGATGTCACCAGTGGAGGCAGTGTAGGCCGACAGAAGTTTGTCTTGATCACAAGAGCTTTTTTAATTTAATAAAATTTATTTTATACACGTACAACATACACAGTCATTACAGGATGAGCACCCTAATTCGACAGTGTAGCCAAAGATACAATACTACATGCCACTCTACTGTGCTCACTCAGCGAACATAAAAACAATCAGCTTAATGCGAATGAGACTAGCTTTCCGTAATGATTTTTGTAGGACTCGGCGGCCTGGTTGAAAGTTCTTTTCTTGGAGCTAATATCGAACTATCGAATCGAATCGAACCCCTACATGTATCCATTACAACACAACGTCGGATTACAATTTTAAAATACAACAAATTTTGTCGGATGAAAGTACATACCGTAAGGTCAAAACAGACCCTATAACTAATACGCTTAAAACAACTAGCGATCTAATTAAGAAATACTCCGAGAAATTGAATCTAGACGTCAATTCGATGATACCTTCGTGTGCAAAACCTCCCAAGTTGTACGGTTTACCAAAAATACACAAACCTAACGCTCCATTACGTCTAATAGTGAGTCAAATCGATTCGCCAACTTACAGATTGGCTCAACACTTAGCCAAAATATTATCACCACTCAGAGGACACACAAGAACACATACTAAGGATTCATACCATTTTGTCAGTGAGATAAAAGACCTACGTCTTGCTGACAATGAAACCATGGTCAATTTTGATGTTCAGTCTCTATTTACATGCCTACCTGTTGAAGACTGCATCTCAATTATAACTAGGAAACTAGATGAAAATAACATGCCACCAGAATATGCAGTACTACTAAGACATTGCCTTACATCTGGCTATCTATTGTGGAAGGAAGAGTTTTACAAGCAAGTAGATGGTGTTGCGATGGGCTCACCTGTATCTCCCATTGTCGCCGATATATTCATGGAAGACTTTGAGGAGAAAGCCCTCCTTACTGCACCTGTTACCCCAAGGTTCTACAAGCGTTACGTAGACGATACTTTCACAATTTACCATCAGACAAAGTAACTGAATTTTTTGAACATCTTAATTCCATAAACTCTAAAATTCAATTTACTATGGAATTAGAGGCAAATAATTCCTTAGCTTTCCTAGATGTGTTAGTCATCCGAAATCCTAACAACACCATAGGTCATACTGTGTATAGAAAAAAGACCCATACAAACCGATACTTAAATGGTGAATCTCACCACCATCCTTCACAGTTAGCTACCGTGGGCAAATCTTTGTTATAGAGAGCACGAGGGATCTGTGACAGCAAACACCTGGCCGCCGAGCTTCAGCACGTCAAGCAGGTTCTGCAGGATAACAAGCTTCGGGTCCCGCGCCTCCGTCACAGTGACCGAGTGAAGCCGGCCACAGTCGAGCGTGTGCCTGCTGTACTACCATATGTCAGAGGTGTCACAGACAAGATTGGCTACTTCTTGAAGCGAGCTTCTATTAGAACATTCTACAAGCCGCCGAAGAAGATTAGTCAGTTCTTACCATCCGTCAAGTGTCATATTCCTCTAGAAGATGCAGGATTGTACAAGCTTGATTGTGATTGTGGTCTCTCATATATAGGGCAAACAAAGAGATCAATTAGAACCCGCGTAAAAGATCACATAGCTGCCGTGAAGCATCAACGTTCCGGAAAGTCTGCAGTTTGCGATCATATCCTAGATGGCCCCAACCATTACATCAGATTTGATAGACCACAAATCCTCGCGAAAGAACATCGATTCCTACCAAGGATGATACGTGAGGCTATTGAAATTAAAAAACATCCTAATTTCAATAGAGAAGGAGGCTGTGCTACTACCACCTGCTTGGGATCCTATAATTAATAAAATTAAAACTAAACCCAAGCGTACCACTGCAAGACTTCAAAACACAGTTAGTTCATTCTGCGTAGATCGGATCAAAGACAATAATTAAAATGCTGAAGGTACTCCGGGTTAACTTTGACATCGGGACGTCAGTCACCTCAGTCCCCCGTGACCATGGGTGCTGGAAAGCACCCGAAACGTCGGGTATTAAAATTAATATAAATAAAACGCGATAAAATCCGTAAAAGTAGTTTTAATCAATGTATAGTGTTCGCGTAAATATAAGAAATTATTAAAATACTCTATAGATTGACTCATCGTTACATCGCATCAGCGCAGCTCGACGTTTCCGCAGAAGAGAAACAGACCTTCCGCTAAGAATAGGATGCAAAAAAGTGTCGCATCTCATCCCAATCAGCTGACTTATACCGCCAAAACCCGCAACACCTTGGAAATCATAATCAGGTGGTGAATATGACCGTACAGATTTCAGCAGACAGTGGTCAGGAAATCGACTAAAATATAAAATGTAATAAATAATAGTACTGAAATAATACTAGTTTTTACGGAATTTATCGCGTATATTTAACTTTTTAAATACCCGACGTTTCGAACGCTTTACAGCACTCGTGGTCACGGGCGGGACTGAGATGTTCAACGTCCATATGTCATAGTTAACCGCGGTTACCATAGATTAAAATTTAACTTTTGTTCCGATCTATGCAGTATGAACTTATGGTATCTTGAAGTCTTGCAGTTGTATGCTTGGGTTGGGATTTAATTTTATTTATTATAGGATCCCAAGCAGATGGTAGCACCCAGCCATCTTCTCTATTGAAATTAGGATGTTTTTTGATTTCAATAGCCTCGCGAATCATCCTTGGAAGGAATCGGTGTTCTTTAGCGAAGATTTGCGGTCTATCAAATCTGATGTAGTGACGGGGGCGATCCTGTACGTGTTCACAGACTGCAGACTTCCCGGTGCGTCGATTCTTCACATCAGCTATATGTTCTTTAACGCGGGTTTTTACTGATCTTTTAGTTTGTCCTATGTAGGAGAGACCACATTCACAATCAAGCTTGTACACTCCTGCATCTTGCAGAGGGACATTACACTTACTACTACCTACTTACTTGACTGATGGTAAAAACTGACCAATCTTCTTCAGCGGCTTGAAGTATGTTTTGATGGAAGCGCGCTTCAAGATGTAGCCAATCTTGTCAGTGACTCCTCTAACATATGGCAGTACAGCAGGTACACGCTCGACTGTGGCCGGCTTCACTCGTTCACTGTGACTTAGGCGCGGGACTCGAAGCTTGTTGTCATGCAAAACTTGCTTGACATGGTGGAGCTCTGCAGCCAGGTGTTTACTGTCACAGATCCCTCGTGCTCTCTGAAACAAAAAGTTTACCCACGGTAGCTAACTGTGAAGGATGGTGGTGAGAATCACCGTTTAAATATCTATCTGCATGGGTCTTTTTTCTATACACAGTTATGGCTCAAGGTGTTATCAGGATTCCGAATTACTAACACATCTAGAAAAGCTAAGAAATTGTTTGCCTCTAACTCCATTGTGAACTGAATTTTAGAATTTATAGAGTTAAGATGGTCTAAAAATGCAGTTACTTTATCTAAAGGTAGAATTGCGAAAGTGTCGTCTACGTACCGCTTGTAGAATCTTGAATTGATGGGAGAACTAAGCAGGGCTTTCTCCTCAAAGTCTTCAATGAATATGTCGGCGACAATGGGAGATACAGGTGAGCCCATCGCCACACCATCTACTTGCTTGTAGAACTCCTCCTTCCACAATAGGTAGCCAGATGTAAGGCAGTGTCTGAGTAATACTGCATATTTTACGGGCATGTTGTTTTCTTCCAGCCTTCTAGTTACAATTGAGATGCAGTCTTCAACAGGTAAGCATGTAAACAATGACTGCACATCAAAACTGACCACAATTTCATTGTCTGCCAGATGTAGGTCTTTAATCTCGCTGACAAAATGGTAGGAATCCTTTATGTGTGCTCTTGTATGTCCCCTGAGCGGTGAGAGTATTTTCGCTAAGTGTTGAGCCAATCTGTAAGTTGGTGAATCGATTTGGCTCACTATGGGACGTAATGGAGTATTGGGCTTGTGTATTTTTGGTAACCCATACAATTTTGGTGATTTGGCGCACGTAGGTATTATCCATTTTACGTCCAGATTTAATTTTTCGGAGTGTTTCTTTATGAGGTCACTAGTGGTTTTAGTGTCCTATTTGTTGGGTCGTTTTTAACCTTTTTATAAGTACTTACATCCGACAAAAGTTCTTGTATTTTAGAATTATAATCTGACGTATCCATGACAAGAAGATGGCTGGGTGCTACCATCTGCTTGGGATCCTATAATAAATAAAATTAAATCCCAACCCAAGCATACAACTGCAAGACTTCAAGATACCATAAGTTCATACTGCATAGATCGGAACAAAAGTTAAATTTTAATCTATGGTACCCGCGGTTGACTATGACATATGGACGTTGAACATCTCAGTGCCGCCCGTGACCATGAGTGCTGTAAAGCGTTCGAACGTCGGGTATTTACAAAGTTATATACGCGATAAATTCCGTAAAAACTAGTATTATTTCAATGTGTAGTGTTCGCGTAAATATAAGAAATCATTAAATAATAGTAACCGTACTCAAATGAGTATGGTTACTATTATTTATTCTGTGGTATGGTGTAGTGTAGTTAGTTTTATTAAGTTGATTTTTCGAAGTGTTCATAATTATTGTCAAAGCTTGTTCGTTTTTTTTCTTAATATAGGTAGTAGTTATAGTATACGACTTTGTGTTTTTGTGTCCGTCCTCCTTCTAGTTTTAATTTTATATTGTATGTTAACCTTTGAATATCCTTTTTATCTGAGGATTGACAAAATCGTCCTTTATTTCGTTAAAAAATCCAATTTAAAGTTTAATGTATTATTTGGCCTGAGCTTCTTTTTTTATTAATTTTGATCCTATCTACGCATAATGCGTAGCGTACCTTAAAATATTACAAAGATATGTTTGAGTTTATATTTAATTTTATCGGTGAACCGATCTAAATTTATCACCTATTAATTCTTTTCTGTGGGTGTCGTAAGAGTTGATTAGAAGATTGGTCAAAAATATTATGGCTCCCGATAGATTTCATTATATTTATTTAGATGACTACTATCTAGGTGACTATTCATGCATAACCCCCCTAAAGCGAGAGAGACTTACTTCTCTTTAATCTCTAGTCCTAGTTAAGCAGTGATCTTTAATGGGCTGATCATGATGATCCTGATGAGGGGAAAGCCTTGAATGACCCCGCATCCACTAATAGATTGTTGCATAGTATTTAAAGCCCCACAAATACTTGTTCCATGCGGGTATCGAACCTGCTACCCGCAGCGCTGCTTAACTCCTGTTTATGAATGCACAATGATGGTGAAAGTAAATTATTTAAAAATTAATACAATAATAACATAACATAAACACTCACGCCTGTCACCCAGAGGAGTAGGCAGAGACTACGGACTTCCATTCGGCACGATCCTGACACACCTCTCCTGCCTCCTTTACATCCATACATCTACACATACACACTCGTCGGTTAAGGATACTCTTTATATAATATAATAATGTAATTTTTTTTTTCTATAGAATGGGATTCTATTTCATCCGAACCCCAAGGACTTTTGTATGGCAATCGATACCATCTCGGTAATTTCGACCAATGTATAGAAGCACCCTGGTACGATACCTATCCTAATTTGAGAAACCAGTACTGTCTCGCTGACATTGTTCTCGAAAGATCAGATAAAACTCCTAGAAAGCGAGTTAAAGAGTTTTACAACCCATATCAATCAGCTTTGGATCTTATAGAGGTAACAGTATTAAAAATTATGATATTGTAACCATAGAATACTATAATACATACATAATAGAACGGGGGAGTGGGCGGAGCTCGTGTAGTCACTAAAATGTCACTAACATGTCAATTTACACGTATAAATTTCAACACGAGATGTGTTTTGACGTAACATTCGTTTCCAAATTTCGCATGCAAATTATCTAGAAAATACCAAATTGCACACTATTTACATGTAAATATGTATTAAAATTTAAACTATTTTAATGATGATTTTGAACATTATACAAGTCTAAAATGTATAAATTAACTCAGGCTGTCAAAACAGCGAATCGGGTTTGTAGTAGTTATAATATGACATAATTGCTTGTGTGTGTGCTCCCGGCGACGCGGAATCTCGTACAAAATAAGTTTGACAGCCATTCTATTGTGTATTATAGTATTCTATGGTTGAACCAATCGTCATTTCGATTATATAATTTATCAGTAAGACTCTGAGTCATTAATTCATAGTTTAAATCTCAGCAGTAATCAGTATTACTGAGTTTGAATATCTCTTACTGTTCAACACGATCACAAGCACTATATATTTGCAGCTCGATACTGTATTATAACCGGATGAATTTATGTGGTGGAGCTACACTGCAGCGCTATTATAGCTACAGCACAAATAGGTAGGTTCGATCGGGAAAGACCAAGTTTTCTCTGTACCAGTGTAGAATAACAGCATAATGCTTCTGTATTTCGAACGGTAAGTGTAATCGAACGGTACTTTTTACTGGTTACCAGGTATTTGGTCTTAATCTTTAGGGATAGCAATGTATAGGTGAGTGTCTATGGGCAGTATCACCTACTTAGCAGAAGTAATGTAAATATTAATTATATAAAAAATAACACGTTCTGGGAGAAGCCAATTTTTTTTTCTTTTTCCATTAATTTGTGAAACAACATATATACTTCCCCACAGCACCGCACTATGTCCTTATACATGTTTCTCTTTTCTCAGCAGCCCGTAAACAATCTATATCTAGAGCAGCTCATTTGTACAAGATTTGTCGTTACCAAAATTAATACATCCCCGAAATATTTGAATTTTCAGATAATTTACTAAAATACGTGGTATAAATTACTTGTTAAAAGGCCCCGAGAACCATCTTAGTACTCAGTGATGACAACGCATCTGTATTTTTATTCTTAATCAAGGATATATGCAGATGTCAACAAAAATCATAAAAGTTTTCAAGCAATAGGGTAAAACAGCAAAAATATCGTTAATTTGTAGTTATACAATAACGATTATTAACTCGCTGCACGCCCTCCGCTGAATAATTACGCTAATGGCCGAGCTTAGAGCTTCGCTGTTGAGGCGTAATGGCTCTTAAGGACACGTGCGGCATACATTTTAAACGGCCGACACTTAGGACAGTGTAGTACAAGAGCGTGTGTATGAACGCCGATCGCCTCGCTCCGATAAACGCTCTACACAGAAGCTTCGGGCATTCAGACAAGTGTTTTCAAAAAGTAAATAAAAATAATGAGTATTACCTTCTATGCCAACTGAGAAGATATCTAACCCATCAGAGTGGCCAAAAATAGGAGATAAAGTTATTTTGTTAGTAGTAGTTTTTATTCCTACATTGTCATCTGATTCTGAGCTAGGTTCAAAATTTCAAGTTTCTTTCTCATCGGGAAGCACTCAAAATTAGAGTTGCAAGATTCCAGAGAGATGCAGACAAACGAGAAAGAGACTTAGGGGCCTATACTACCTCAGCTCAAATTCTAATTTCACCCCCACTTCCCCGTGTGTCGTATGCTATGTGCCGACATGTTTGTATTCAATAATACTGTAAGTAGATAGGTCATTAGATACTTATTTCATTCGGTTTATCATATTTATGCCTGTTTCTTTACGCCAACCCAGTCGCTTCTTATTTTTATTATGGTTATTTTCCATTTTAATTTTAAGTCGTCTAATAGCGTAATATGTATATTGATCGTAAGCGACACAGCTTTTCCGTTCAAAAGCCGAAGCGAGACTGAGCAGGGTTATCGCATAGCAGGAAACAAGCTTCAGGACGCAGATAGTTTAGGTAATTTCTTTTTACAGTGAAAATAATGGTAATTAAAAAAAAATAAAACACATAAGCCCTGCTTTATGGTTAGTTCAGTTAGTATGCAAAGTTTCATGATCTTATTTAAAGTATTTTGTGAATACCAGCAGTTTATTGTTCGGTTTGGAGGTAATTTTGAATTTTTTTTATTGAGAAAATTCTACGGAATCCTGTTTTCGTCTAACATAGTACTTAATATTAATCCTCAACTTTACCATATATTTATTTCAAAATTAATACTGCAATATTTTCGGCATAACGGAGGATCTTGCTAAGCCATTTGAGGTACTATAGGCCCTAAAAAATGTGGTAAAAACTAAAAAATTCGAGGCACAATTTTTTTTATTTAGCACTTAGCGTTAGCACCAAACACTGAAACTGTTAAGTGAAAATTATGTTATTCTTTGAAGTTTACTTTTACATTTGATTGAAAGTTTAATTTGATGTTGTTTTATTTAGCACCGTTCCCTCTTCATGAGGCCTCTAAACTACTTGACGTGGGGCCTGTGCGTGCCAAGTTCCTGTCAACCGCAATCAGTGCAACGCTTGCTAGGTATATTACTGGCGCAAAGCCACATCGGTGCGGCAGGTTTGCGAGCTCGCATCACAGTCAATGAACCGTGCCAAAGCGTTGATAAACCCAGAGAGTACGACGCACTTTTCTACTCGTTTATGTAAGTCCCATTTATATTTCATGAAATAATTCATAGCATTCAGTTGTTTTCAGTTAAATAAAATACCTCGGAAAAGGCCAATTGAATTGTCAAGTCCCCTGCTAAACGTACGCCTCACACAGAGATATTGCCTCTTATAAGAATATCTGCAGTTAATATGCGAGTTGGTAACCGTAGCTTTTTACTATTTTGAGTTGTTTTCAGGGAGATGCTGCTGCCCACCTCTTATTTTAGTTTCCCTCTGATGCCTCTTCCTCTCTTTCTCGTCTCGTCATTCTTACGCCGCCAGACGGCGACTTCTTAAATATTCCACCTAAAAATTACCCAAACCAAAGCTGTTCTACACAGCGTCAAAGATATGATTAAGAATCCACAGTAACTTAGTAATGAGTTATGGCGTTGAAGACCGCAGCCTCAAATATCAAACAGAGCAAGAATTTGTATGTCTCACAAATAATTGTTCTGAATGTTAATTTATGTGTGTAGAAGTAACGTATAATTATAAAAATAATACAAAGTGTAGGTTACGTCAAATCCTTCATAATATGTAAGAAGTATACTTGCAGCTGCACTAGTGTTTTATTTTATCTCTACCCGCACTATCTTCATCTGTAGAGCTAATTAAAATGTTGGCAAAGGCAAATGACGTCACAAAATCGCATTACTGAATTAATCATCAAAATTGCCTGAAAACGTCAAGTTGGCCGTGTGTGACGGTGTAAGAATATTTCCTACCGCGTATTATTCTGTGAGTGGATGTGGGCGACTGACGGAAACAAACCAGAAAATGAATTTCTAATGGTAATGCAAATGCAGATTGAAAAATCTTTTTTGTATTTAAATAAATACAAAAAAGATTTTTAAAAAAGTTATTAGAAAGATTCTCTAATTGAATTAAACGAATCTGAAATCTCGTCGAGTCTCCGTAATTCTTAAGTACGAGATGGCGCTTTGATACTGAGGGCTGCAGAAGGAATGAGTTGGCTCTACCAGGGGAGGGATAACTTTCACTTAGAATATCCGCATTAGATAGCAGCATAATGCTGATATTTTTCGCATAGGAAGTGTCGAAAACTGAAATCTTTTTTCCTGGTAAAAAGACATTCTATATTAGTCATTAGGAATGACAATGCGTCAGCATTTTCATTCTTATTCGAGGATGGATGGAAAACATACGAAGGGGTGAACAATACGAATACGAAGGGGGGAATTGATGAATGCAAATGGCTCGGGATCGTAAAGTGTGGCAATCTATGGGGGAGTCCTATGTTTAGTAGCGGACTTGTGATGGACTGTAATGATAGTGGTGATGATGCTGATAATGGTGATAAACATAGTAGTTATATGAAGGTTACATATTTACTACGGTAAATGTTCGAATGACTAAAAATATATAAGCTATCGCATTTGAAAATTTTATAGAAAATTTACTGTTGTTAAAATTATTTTGCATAATTCTTTTGCTTAAATTTTTATGTTATTGACATTTATTAATAACTTTTCTGTTTTTTTTCCAGTGGAGTAATGACGTTTTTTGCAGCAGTAATTTTAATTTGTACATACATAAGACATCAACGATCGGTTCGTGACACACAGACATTAGGTGAAACGTTTTGTTTTTAAATTATCTTATTTTACTAGTTTATTGATATATGTATATTAAACATATTTCGTTGTTTTGTATTATTATTGTAAATCAATAAAATAATGTTGCAGGTGATGAAATCATCAAAGCGATATGTCTTAAAAGTAACGCACAGGATCTGTTGAAAATTAATAAAGGTGGAAACGAAGTGTTTTATGGTATTCGATTTTTGAACATTTGTTTCATAGTATTAGATCACCAGTTTGGTATGGCTAACGGTGGCCCCATTAGTAATGGAGCTCAAGTTGACAAGGTACAATGTGACTTTTTTATATTTTTTTTTATAAAATAAGGTTGACAAATGTGCGGTCAGTGCACCTGATGGAAATATATGATGTGGATCCTAAACACCTACATCTATTATCGATGATGAATTAAAAGCAGATGCGCCATCAGGCCCGAACACTAAAATAAGACATCAAGCTATCAGTAAAAAGACTTGCTAGTTTTCTATAATAACTGGATGAAATACAGTAACATTTTTATATTTTATTTCAAGCTGGTAATTCTAATAAGGGCGTGATGCTTCCCCGGTTGAGCAAGCTATTTGAACAGCACAAATAATAAGAATTGTTGCAAAGAAAACTTTTTGATTTGTTTTCTTTAAAATATATTATTAGGTTATAAATAAGAACTGAAAACTACAAATCATCACGCTTCTAGCAGTGCTGTGTGGTTTGTATTGTACTATGAAGTTCATGGTATAGATCTATTTTGATTCGATATTAATGATTTCTTATGTCTACATTTACATTACATTGAATACAACTAGTTTTATGGATTTTATCGCATTTTATTAAGCCAAGTTTTGAGTACTTTACAGCACTAAGGGTCGCAATCCGGGATCCCGAATCTCGAAAATACTGGAATACCGGACTGAAACGAAAGCTTTAAAATACCAGGATTGAGTGAGTGAAAACCGGTATTTACGTTTTTCAGTATTTGATTACAAATTATGTTAAGTAATGTGTATATGTTTTTATTAAAACTGAATACTAGAAGTTTCATACGTTTAAATAATTAAAAATAACTCAGCAGCAGTGAGTTATTTATTGATATTTCGTAGTAAATGGTTGATTTTTTAAATAGATGTGTTTTGCTTATCTTAACACACTTTTATTGTTTGGCTGTTGACAAATCCCCCACGAAAATTACAGTTCCATTACATATTTTAAATAATTTTTTATTATATTAAAAATAACGAAAATACCGAAACTACCGGAATCTCGATAATCATTAAAAAGTAATACTTACCGAAAACACCAGTTTTTGTAAAGAGGTCCGGTATTGTGACCACTATACAGCATCCTCATCACGGGCAATTCAATTGGCTATTAAGTACTCGTATATGGTATAGTATAATATGTAAGTACGAAGTTACTATATGTTAATAAAACGCGATAAAATCCGTAAAAACTAGTTTATTCAATGTGTGTTTTTCGCGTAAAAAATAAGAAATCATTAATATTGAATCAAAATACAATGATACTATGAAATTAATTGTATAATGTTGGTGTTGAATTTATCATAAAATCAATTCAATATTAAAATTATTTACTATATATATACCTTACTATATGTACCTTTGATATTAATCGCTGCATTGTTTTTTTTTAAGGCTGCGTTGTCGATTATGGGCCTGCTTATTTTACATAATGATCTATTCGTGGACACATTTTTCCTCCTTTCCGGATTTCTTGCCGCAACAGGCCTATCAGCTTTTAAAAGATTTCCTAATCCATTCATTTTAATTCTGAAGAGATATGTGAGGTAAGCAATCGCCTTTTTATGACATTTTGTTGTCATCAACAATTTAAACTTCAATGACGAAACATTTGGAGCATTTACTACTAAACAAACATATAATACGATATTTATTTATTTCTGAAATTCCACTAAAAATTTTCAACACATCGAGGAATCAAAAACTCTTAACTATCCTAAAGTTGGTAAAGGGTAATAACAATTTGTACCAAATGCTCATTAGATATTAAGTTAATTTTTATCCGTTTCAATAAAAAAAACCTTGCTAAATTTATCTTTTTCATCCGTTTACAATGTATCAGAATTTGTAAAAAGGAATAATTAATATATACTTAAACAATTATGTATTTTCTAGTAGCTACAGACATTAAATAAAAATACCTTATTGAACACGTAAACACTTCGGTTTTAACAATAATTAATTATTTATTAATCCTAAAATTGACCATTTGTAATTGTACACACAAGAATATTGTATTCTTATCATAAAAAAACAATTGCCAGTCCTCGTAGAAAAAAAGTAACGATTGTTATAAAAAGTTATCGTCCTGTCCTATTAACGACATAATCGACTTCTGGGGCAAATTTTATTAGCGTTCGTCCAGCCGTTCCAGCGGGATTGCAGAACAAACACAGTAGCTTGAGGTGCGGCTGGGGTGACTCAAAGGCCAATAAATTAAAACTACGGAATAATCCCAAAGTACCAAAACTACCTAAGAGCCGTGGTAGCTGAAATGGTTAACGCTCGCTGTAAATATATCAGAACGCGAGCAACCCGGGTTTGATCCCCGCCGGCACCAATGAAATTGTTAATTGCAATTTTAAATGCTGATTTACCATGTGCTCGGCGGTGAAGGAAAACTTCGTGACGAAACCTGCATGTCTGAGGAGTAAGAAAAAAAATATTTCGAAGACATGTGGAGTTCGCCAACATGTATTGGGGCAGCGCGGCGGACACTTCCTTGCCCTAAAAACCTCTCAGAAATGAGGGGAGGCCTGTGCCCAGCAGTGGGACGTATATAGGCTGTAATTTTACTTTTTACTTTACTACCAATACTATCTTGTAATAAACACACAGACATTCAGTCTAAAAAGAGTTGTTTATGAAATAACTTCGATTTAACTTTTTTTTAATGTTGCATAATTTAGATTAACATTTTCTTTGACTTTAACGTCGATGTTTACGGTCAGTAAATATAAGCGAGCCATCAATACAGAATTAAAAACTTGGACATATTTATAGTATACATCTCATAAATCTGTATTTCTTGAAAACTATATTTTCACCAATTCAACTGCAACGGAACCTTCCAAATGCGATTTGTTTTAGCTATGTGACTGTAAGCACTAGCATACCTGATCCCAGCAGCATAATATATGGTACTGGTCTATTGGCTAGAAAAACGTGAGCCTAAGCAGCAGTTTTCCCGACCCCAGAAGCATAACATCTCGTTCTGGTCTATTGGCTAGAAAAACGTACGGCTAAGCAGCAGCTTTCCCGATCCCAGCAGCATAATATCTGGTTCTGGTCTATTGCCTAGAAAACGTGTGCCTAAGCAGCAGTTTTCCCGACCCCAGCAGCATAATATCTCGTTCTCGTCTGTTAGCTCGAAAAACGTGCGGCTAAGCAGCAGCTTTCCCGATCTCAGCAGCATAATATCTGGTTCTGATCTATTGCCTAAAAAACGTGCGCCTAAGCAGCGGTTTTCCCGACTCCAGCAGCATAATATCCCGTTCTGGTCTATTGGCTAGAAAAACGTGCGGCTAAGCAGCAGTAGCTCTCCCAACCCCAGCAGCATTATATCTGGTTCTGGTCTATGACCATAAATTATAGAACACAGATTTTCGAGAAAGCGGTGCATCTTTAAAACTCTCCTTGAACATCTCACCTCTCGCCGCTCTACTTCCGGCGGGAGCTGAAGTGTTTGTGTATGTATATATGTATATGTACCTACTTCACCGTTGGGGCGCAATCAGTGTTCCGGAAAATAGGGCGACCCGAATTCTTCTTACTCCGCGACTCTACCTTAGCAGCCACGAGTTGAGTGTGATCTCGCCAAGCCCACTCAAAGATCCTATCCATTTGATTCCATTACATTCCATCTTAGTCGTCAAGGGGTGCACTTTGATTCAGTCAAGCAGAGATGAAGATTTCTATGGACCACAGTATCAACTTACCATTAGGTTGTCGTATGGGTTTTTCGTCATCCTTATTCAATAAATAAAGTATAAAATACCTCTACGTTACCGGTGAAATTCCCAGTGTGGGGACTACATATTTAAAAGATTGGCAATTAGGGAAATTTTCTTATTTTTTATGTATCAAATTAAGCTGCGAAGGCAATGAAATTTTAATGTTCGCAAGATATTTGTTTATGATTGCGGCGGTAGCAAATCATTCCATATTTTAGCGACGGAGTATTTAAAATAACTCTTTATTTCATTGTTTTATGGCATGGAATATTCAGCATATTTGAAGTACTTTTACGTGTATTTACTTCATGAGTATTGTTACTCTAATCTAATTTATTGTATAAATAAAGTGAATTTTTATTACTAACAACATTGCGAACTAAGCAAATCTTTATTTTGTTGCAGGCTTGCAACGGCCTTCGCAGTTGTAATTTTCTACGTTTGCGCCATTTACCCATTTACTGGATCAGGTCCGTTGTGGAACAGGGCCATAGCTTCTGACACCGATCAGTGTCGCAAGAATTGGTGGATCAGCCTTCTCATGCTAAACAATTATATTGACAGCGAGAATATTGTAAGTACACGAAGGCTTTGCGACTCATTACCTGGTTATCGGAATGGCTTACTACGACACGAGTCAAAGATTGCGTTGCGTGCTTATAAGGACGTAGTTTTTTATACTTACGTTGTTACATCGTTAATTAAGTCTTTCAACAACTATAAGGCTGAAGATACACGATGGGGCCAGATATGAGAAACTCAATTCTCAAGTTTATAGACGAAATGCCGTGATGTGGCCACTGCTGCAAATTTAATAGACTGTTATACACAGCTTCTCAAAATATTTTTTTTCGTTCAACATCGCTGACATCTGTTTCAACATTTGTGTTAAATTTTACAATTGCCGTGTATCTCGAGCATAATGCATTAGTGAATTTATCTAGGGTTCAAAGAAAAATTTATTTGTCATCGTCAACATCGGCTTACCATACGAACAAGTTGAGCTGGTTCTTCCCACACCCAAAGGTTAAGTTTAACTATTCACCCAGGAAATGCAACTCGTGTTCTTGAGGCTATAGCTCGCTCGCTAGCTCAAGGAACAGTGTTATATATTTTTGTAATTTATTGCATTAAATATAGTTTTTATACTTATTTTAAATGAAGTTTTGTGTATCTAATTGTAGGTTTACAACGCTTGTAAGACTAACGAGCTGTATAGCCGTTTTCTTTTTACTTATACACTAAACCTAATTATAGCCTGTATATAATAGGTGCTTTAAGGTTGCTTTATAAGAAATCCAGACCCAAAAGAAACCGATAAAAACGTATGTCAAATCAAACGAGCTATACGCCCAACCTCTGGTAAAAGGATTCCTCAGCTCTTGTTAAACTTGCTACAAACACCAAATACATAATGCTCTAGTATTTAAATATTTTAGGATATTATTTAATGATATTTATCTAGCTTTTGTGTAACTTGGGATGTAACATTTGAGATAGATATTTTTGGATTGGTTTTTGGTCAACAGACCATCGCGAGAGGTTCGTCCAACAATCATCAGGGTGTTCCACAGACAGGTCAAGTGACATTTGCAACAAATATTCTTCATTATGTTGTCAATCATATATTTTTTGTATTTAAAATTTCAAGACTTAACTGATATTTTTTGGGAAACAAAACATACTTAATCAAAAATTTTATTTCAGTGCATGGTCGTTACATGGTATATCCCCTGTGACTTCCACTTCTTCACGGTCACAATGCTGTTATACTGGTTGTATAGAACGCACGCAAGGCTTGGTATAACTTGTGCAGTTGTTGTATCTATAGCCGCCATAATAACGCCAGGAATTGTCAACTACCTTAATCAACTTCCCCCTATACAACTTTTCACTTATGAGTGAGTTTAAAATACTTTTACTAACTATATAATATTAAATCTATGGTATATTCTGGGCGTGTAGTGCGGTATAAGATAGTCTACCAAGGCACACGAGGGTAATACGGTCATCTTAAGCTTTGCTGCCCTATAAAACCAAAACTAGAAGGAGGATAGATACAAAAACACAAAGCCGTATACTATAACTAATATATTAAGAAAAAAATAGCTAATAAGCTTTGGGAATAATTAAGAACGCTTCTAAAATCAACTTAATAAAACTAACTACATTACGCCGTACTAGAATCGACTAAAATATTTACTATAATATCAACTGTTAAAATGGCGTTGATAAAGCTGCGTCCTTTTGACCCTTTATTATTTGATTGGCTTATGAAGAACTATCGTATCATATAGCTTTCTATGCAAACAATGCTTTAGTTTTTGAGTTATAAGAAAGTGGCCATATTAACCAGATGATCATATTACCCTCACGTACTATACTAGAAATCCTCCAGCCTCAGAGGGAAATATAATAAAGCTGCGGTTAACATTCCGTCTGCTTACTTAATTTAATAGACTGTTATCTTACAGCTTACCATGTCTTGTGCACGCCTTGCGGAGACTGTTGGTCAATAATACTCTCCTACTTGCTACTACTTACAGCCTGTTAAAAGTCGACTGCTGAAGATAGGCCTCTTTTGGCAGGTAATTAAGTGAATTGGAAGTTTTCTATATGTATACTTCAAAAGGAAGTTGTTAATAATTTCCATATTATTTTTGGACAAATAACTCATATTCACAATATACATGTTATTATATTAGTCAAGTGCCAAACAGAAAATCACAAAATCTGTACTCGATAGATAGTGCTGTGATTTTTTTTAAATAGAATAAGGGTGACAAACAAGCACACAATCTGCCCGATGGTAAGTGGATGCTGTGGCCCATAGACATTTACATTTATGCTCGATTAAGAATCAAAACGTAGATGCGTTGTCACTCCTGAGGACTAAGATGAAATGCCTCGTTTCCAGTAAAAAAGGGTCTCCGGATCTCTACACTCACCATACGAAACACAGCAGTATTAAGCTGCTATTTTACGCTGGTATTCTGTGAGAGCGTGGTCCTTCCCCGGTCGAGCCGACCCATTCGTGCTACAACCATAATATAGCTGCAGCGTGGCTCTACCACGTATTTAGACTATAAAAAGTCTGAAGTTAGAAAATTTGAAATTCGTAATAAATCTGATTAAGTCATCTACCCTCTCAGGTAGAACGTGTAACGGATCGGCTTGTAAATTAAATAGTAAATTATGCGTTACATAGTTGCGTTACATCCAGTCCACAATATTTCCGCTATCCCATTGTTCTTCAGTACACAAACACTGTAAGTAATTATATAATTAAAAACATAAAGTGGTACTACTTTATTCTAGCTATTTACATAATTGTAAAATTTACGTAATTTCTCATGAGAAAACCAGAAATTACAAAACTTATTAATTCCTCGCACGAATATGTACGTAAATTTCTCAATATATTTGGTAGAAATAAGTGCGTGATTGATCTTTACCAGTAAGAAAAAAGTAAAGTACGGTAAAGAACAGTATTCTTTTTTTTATAGGATAAGGTGACAAACGAGCACACAGTCCACCTTGGTAAGGGGATGCTGTAACCCATAGACATCCATATTTAATCTCGATCAAGAATCAAAATGCAGATGCGTTATCACCCTTGAGGACTACGAGTACTTATGAAATTCCTGCACTCGCTGCCTTTCCTCTAACAATACATTCTTGGCTTGTATCTTATCTTATAAACGTAAGTTAGGACGATTATTAATTGCGTTTGGGTATGTCTGTAGTACCGAAGTTACTGTCTTATAGCTGAGGTGATTATGTGAATGCCATTTAGACACGAACAACCATTTTAAATATAACGAAGTCTGCGCAATGGCTTAACCGTTTGCCATGAAACTTCACGATCGGGTGGAGATATTTTTTAATAAACAAAAAATTGATTAAACAAATGGCCTTGGACTATCTGGAATCTAAATAACGCCATATTAAAACAGTTAGTCCTCAGCTATAATAAATGTAAGTTATTACCTACACACATCTTATGTAATTATATGTATGCTATGAAACAATTAATAAATTAATGGAGGATTTTGTCAGCCGCTCTGCTGCGTAGCATGTAAATGGCTTTCACAAGACATTTTATTTCTCAAACGTAGTAAATCAGCACTTAAGATGGCAATCAATGTAATTGGTACCGCTGGGGATCTAATCAACATTTTTCGCGTACTATGTAATATTTTTTTTATAGGATAGGGTGACAAACGAGCGCACCGTCCACCTGATGGTAAGTGGCTCATAAAAATCTACACCTATCCTCGATTACGAATCAAAATGCAGATGCGTTGTCACCCGTGAGGACTAATATGGAATGCCTCATTTCCAGAAAAAGGGTCTCCGGTTGTCTACACTCACCGGACGAAACACAGCAGCATTAAACCTACAGCCAGCGCTAAGATCCTGAGCTACCACTGCTCTTAGATATTTGTTTATACCTTTAATTACTTAATATTCTTTCCAGCTTCCTAACAAATCCTCGGAGTCTCAAGCAGTTCCATTTGACTTATATCAAAAGTCACACCCGCTACGCTTCGTACCTCGTTGGCTTCTACAGTGGCCTCATTTTTAGTAACTATAAAGCCAAAGGCAACATTAGGAGGATTTCTAAGGCAAGTGTTAAATATCTCATTAAAAGAGTATTAAAATTGAATAGCATAGAATATTTTTATTGAATATATCAAGTAATTCTTATTGTAAGTTATTTTTTACTTTTACCACTGGTTCAGTGTTCTGTTCAAAACCTGTGTCCTGGAAAGAACCGCCAAGAAACCCAGAGGAACTTTTTTTTTCAAAGAAAATTTTTCAGTAAGAACACAGGTTGTACAAAGTACTTCTAAAATGTATGTAAGAAACAGCTTGGAAGCGACTACCTTTTTTATAGAAGCGGGGGCAAACGAGTATGGTGCTCACCTGATGATAAGTGACTACCGCCATGAACAACCACCACACCAGGAGAATTGCAGGTGCGTAGCCAGCTTTTCAGAAAGAAGTAAGCTCTTTTCTTGAAGGTCCCTAAGTCGTGTCGGTCCGGAAAAATCGCCGGTGGTAAACTATACCACAGAAAGGTAGTACGCGAAAGAAAACTCCTAGTGAAACGTACAGTGGTGGACCGGCAAGCATCCAGATAGTGTGGATGGTATCGGGAGACTTGCCGCGTAGTGCGTACATGAAATTTGGCGGCTGGAATTAATCCGAACAATTCTTCGGAACACTCCCCATGGTAGATACTATATAAAACGCAAAGGAATGCAACATCCCTACGCAGCACCTGTGAATCAAGCCGATCAGAATGAACTCGGTCGTCGACAATTCGAACCACTCCGCGCTGGATGCGGTCAAGGAGCTGGCACTGGGGTGCCCCTGCCCAGAGATGTCAACAGTATTCCATGTGAGGCCGAAATTGCGCTTTGTAAAGTTGCAAACGATGTGCCGGCATGAAATACTGTCTCGCTCTGCTGAGCACGCTAAGCTTTTTAGAGGCCATTTGGCCTTGCCCTTCAAGTGACCACGAAACTGCACGCTATTCGATATATCGACGCCGAGGATTCCGATGCTACTATATATTCCACCTCATATGCCTCATATTATCAACTGTTATCGTTACAGCCTATTAAATACCACTGCTGAACCCAGGCTTTCTACATAGATTGCCTCATAGGTGGATATTTGCCATAGTTGCCACGCTTGGCAAGTTGGTTGACAACTGTAGTTTTTTATTGAATAATTTTAAACCATATATATATATATATATATATATATATATGTGTGTGTGTGTGCGTGTGTGTGTGTGTGTGTGTGTTGTATGCATGTCGTGTATGTATGGATGTCGTGTGACTGAATCATCTATCAACGCGCTGCTCAAACCGCTAGACCTAAAAATCTAAATTTGGACAGTAGCTTCCTTCACAAGAAAATTCCTTAGAGAAAGAAAGAAATGAGAAATGAGGGGAGGCCAGTGCCCAACAGTGGAACGTAGATATATACGCTGTAACTTTACTAGTTTGTATGAAACTGGCTTAGAGGCTGTTCAAAGAGGGAGACCACGTGTTTTAGAATTTTTGAAAATTCTATCCTTAAATTTAAATAAAGAGTTCTTTTTTTGAATATTACTTACTACTTATACGGATTTTATCGCGTTTAATTTACTTGATTTTAATTCCCAACCTTTCGGGTGCTTTACAGTACCTATGGTCACGGCGGTAATGAGATAATTGACGTCCCGATGTCAAAGTTAACCCGGAGTACCTTCAGTTTTTAATTACTTTTTTTTTTCGGATATACGCAGAATGAGCTTACTGTACCTTGAGATATAGCAGTGGTATATTTGTGTTTATAAAATTCTATAGAGAGGGAGGTGGTACCCAGCCTCCCTCTCTATTGAAATTAGGATGTTTTTGAATTTTAATAGTCTAGCGTATCATCCTTGGTAAGAATCGATGTTCTGTCTCGAGTACATATATTTGTGGTCTATCAAATCTGATGTAATGACGAGGATCGCCTAGGATATGATCACAAACTGCAGGCTTCCTTCCGTCCACTTATAGCTGAAACAGTAACTTTGACATCTCATTTTATAGGAGAGGTGGCAAAGGAACATACGGTTCACCTGATGATAGTAGGTGACTACCGACGCCCATGAACAACCACAATACCAGGGGAATTGTGTTTGAAAAAGTGCGTTGCCGGCCTTTTAGAAAGGAGTAAGCTCATTTCTTTAAGGACCCTCAGTCATCTCCTCAGTCAATTACCTACCAATTAAAATCCATAAAAGTAGTTTTATTCAATGTGCTGTAGATTAGGACGGAGGATATACAATTAAATTAAAAAAAAATATAAATTAAATCACAAGATAATGACAGATGAAAGTAGGATAGAAAGATAAGAAAAGACGGGAAGTATGATTGTGAAATATTAGAAGTTCCAAGTAATATAAGCTATGATTAGATTTTCAAAAGAGTAGTTACTCAGTAAAAGTTGAAAAAATTTTGACCTTGGCAAGCAGCATTCCTCACTTTATTTTTTTTTTCACTGCGGAGCTCCATTATTAACCGATCATTTTGCCAAGGATCGAACTCGCTTTGCTTATGAATTTTTAATGAGAGTGCTTACGACTCCAATATGTACTTTTAAGCTTGCATTTTCTTTTTATAGAATAAGAATGACAAAAGAGCAAACAGTGCACCATGGCAAGAAGATGTAGCCCATAAGGATCTACATATATCTTCGATTAAGAATCAAAATGCAGATGCGTTGCCACCCCTAAGGAATTAGATGGACTGCCTCGTTTCCAGTTAAAAGGATTTCCGGTTCTCTAAACTCACCAAACAAAACTCACCACCATTGGGCTGTTATTTTACGCCGGTATTCGGTATAAAGCGTGGTCCTTCCCCGGTTGAACCGATCCATTGGTGTTACAACCACAATATAGCTGTATACTCTATACCACAAAAAAAATATTTATATTTCTTTGAATTATTGACCCTGGTTCTTCTAAATCTAAATTATTTCTTTAAATTATTGATTTTTCTTCTCCAACTTCAGAAATATTCCGTGCTGGGCGCTTGCTTCGGTATTGTCATGATGTTGGCTGTTATGATTTATGGCGCTACATTCGTATGGCGCGACTATGGGCCCATAGGGGCCGCAATCTACGCCGCGATCGAACGCCCTTTGTGGACCAGCAGTGCCGCATTGTTGGTTCTGTGCTGCTGTTTGGGACACGTGCGTAAGTAAACAAATACGTACAAGATACGATTTTTATAATGATTATGGTGTTCAATTTATCTGAAATTACCAAAAGGAAGTATGAAACTGTTAATTGCAATTTTAAGTGGTGATTTATCACGTGTTCGGCGGTGAAGGAAAACATCGTAAGGAAATCTGAATGTCTTAGAAATAAGAAAAAAATATTTCGAAGAACATGTGAAGTTCGCCAAAACGCATGTGGGCAGCTCGGCAAACATTTCCTTGTCATAAAACGGCGGAAAGGTGATAAATATACACTTGAAAGCGATTTAATTTGAATAAACTTATATCAATGACTTGAGACGAAACATTTCTCACTCCTTCTAAGTTTGGCCCTTAGTGAAAGAGTTATACATTGTACGACAGTTGTGCTAAGTGCAACTCTAGTTTTAATCAATCTTACAATAAAGTTTTTTTGGTCATGAGAGTATAATATTTAATAAACAAATAAAGATATTCCATATTCCTACTTACATATTCTTGGTTCGTCATCCGAATTAGAGCCATATTCAAAATTTCAAGCTCATCGGGAAGATAGTGTAAAAATCAATGACTAAATTTCACCCGGTACAACAGATAAACAAAAAAGTGACTTGATAAAAACCTGGTAAAATAATCTCCGCTAATTACACCGAAACGATGCTAACCCTTCTCCTCTTTCATCTTCTCTGAATTTGGGGAGAGATGGGCCCATAAGTGCGGTGTTTAAAGTTGTTACATTAATAATAATTTTTCAGCCCTGTTGAAAAGCTTTCTCAGTTGGTACCCTTGGGTCCCACTGAGTCGACTCAGCTACGGCTTGTACCTCACACACGCAATAATCATTACTCGCAATGTCTTCAGCACCAGGGTCTCTCAGCACGCTGATATCTTCTTCTTTGTACGTATTTTTTATTGTATGGTATTCTGTTTGTTATTGATTTTTAAGATGTAGTGTTTTAGCGTTACATATATATAATCCATATATACTGGATGACCTTTGTGAACGAAGTAGAAGCCTATGGCACTGATATTTACAAAAAAAATGAATAAAATTAATTAATTAATTAAAATTTGTCGAAATTCAAATCATATCTACCGTAGGATGTGACCCTGCGAAGTGATAAGGTCAAAGATGCCTACTAAATTTGTTGTTTTATTGCTGTTCGTAAAGTAGGTTGGATATTTATTTATACGTGGTAGAGACATACTGCAGTCATACAGTGTAACCTTAATGCAACGAGCCTCAATATAACGAATTCCTCGATTTAACGATTTTTTGAAATCCCCTAGTACCCGTAAGAGCTAATGCAATATATACCTCTACATTACGAATACATTTATCAAAAACCTTTTTATAACGAATTTTTAAACAATGCAAAATATAGGTAGAAGGTACTATTGACCTCTATTTAACAAATTTATTCAACATAGAACCTTGACGTAACGTACCCTATTAAATATTCCACAAATCATTTCTTGACAGGTTCAGACACGTTAAATTCTTAGGAAGACATTTGTTTATTGTTTTCTATTTTGACAGAAACAAAAATACTGTATTTTCATTTATTAGTGGAAATTCTTCGCTTTAATAGGGTGAGTAGATGAGTATTTACGTAATGTTGAGGTTAATAAGCAAGTTTTCTTACTTTGTTAAAACGAATTGTAGTCCCACCTCTACATCTCCACATCTATACCACATCCACCTCCTCCACATCTATATAACCTCTATATAACAAAGTCATTATAACAAATTTCTTGGTAAAGCGTTCCCTTCAGTTTCGTTATATCGTTATAGTAGTATAGTTGTAGCACGAATGGGTCGGCTCGACCGGGGAAGGGCCACGCTCTCCCTGAATACCAGCGTAAAATAGCAGCTTAATGCTGCTGTGTTTCGTATGGTGAGTGTAGAGAACCGGAGACTCTTTTTACTGGAAACGGGGCATTTCATCTTTGTCCTCACAGGTGACAACGCATTTGCATTTTGATTCGTAATCGAGTATGGATGTAAATGTCTATGGGCCACAGCAACCACTTACCATCAGGTTGACTGTGTACCCGTTTGTCACCCTATCCTATTAAAAAAATTATGTTTGATTTTATTTTATTTTTTTTGATTATTTTTGTATTCGACTGAAGCGTTTTATTAAGACCCAAAATAAACATATTCTTAAAAACTTAAGCTCTCTCATTACCGGAAAACCTAATTTTCACGAAGGTCCTTTTTAAGTATATTTTTTATAATTTTCTTTCAGCTTATTCAGACGGCTGGCGTTATAGTCTGGGGTTGCTTGGCCTCCCTTATTATTTTGGTATTGGTCGAACTTCCTGTGAACAACTTGATATCTTTGTGCTTTAAAAAGAGGTAAGTAAAAGTCGCCCGTGAATTAGGAATTTACTATATGCCTTGAGGTAGTAGTATAAAAAATAAGTTATAAAATCGATATTCAAAATAATCTGGCGTTTCAACTCAAATTCTACAGTTTAGAAATTTGAGTCTAGAACAAATATTGTTACACAAATTTGGACCTTGTGATAATTAACTTTAAATTCAATAATAAATAAATTTTAATCTTAATATTAAATACATAAATTTTATACGTGGTAGAGCCATGCTGCAGTTATATTAGTAGTAGTTGTAGCACGAATGGGTCGGCTAGACCGGGGAAGGACCACGCTCTCACAGAATACCAGCGTCAAATAGTAGCTTAATGCTGCTGTGTTTCGTATGGTGAGTGTAGAGAACTGGAAATCCTTTTTACTGGAAACTAGGCATTTCATCTTAGTCCTCACAGGTGACAACGCATCTGCATTTTGGTTTGTAATCGAGGATAGATGTAGATGTCTATGGGCCGCAGCAACCACTTACCATCAGGTGGACTGCGTGCTCGTATGTCACCCTATCCTATAAAAAAAACTTCGAGATCGTGTCTGAATAATGTCAAATTTCGTCTATTGGGATCCATGTTAAGCGATTATGGGAAATGCCGAAAAGATCTCGTGGTTTCCGATAGATGGCGTTATAACTATGTCGCTTTTGGCGAGACAATTAACCAGGGACGGGCGGAAGCGTCAAATATGTGAGTCGCCTAGTACAGAGATCGCCAATTCGCCTGCCGAGTGTGGCGATTATGGGCCCATGTTCTTCACCCACATTTAATGGCCATTAGATATATTACATATATAGGACACTAAGTCCTCCATACTGAATTTTGGTAACGGTGACCAAATTCGGTGGAGATTAACCATCTGCATTGGATAGGATTATAGTGCCCCAGTGTATGCGCAAGTACAGTGCACCCTCTATGCCCTCACTCTTATAGCCCTTTGGGAAGACAAACCGACACGACCGGAGAGAGATCTGGTGCGGCACCAACGGCTTTACATGCTTTCCGATGCATGGGGTGAAACACCGCCAACACCCTGAATCCAGGCTGCTAGCAATCAGGAATGTTCGATAATGTTTTCTTAACCAAATATAATCACAATTTATTTTTATTTTAGATCGAATTTAGAAGATAATCAACCAAAAATAAAAGAAAATCATCAGCATCGTAACATTGAAGCAGGCACTGGGATAGAAAATGCAGGCTTCATGCAAGAAAATCTAATTTCCCCGACTAAAATAGTTGTCAAATTTTAACTTTAAAATAATGTTCGTTTTACTTATGTACATAAATTTATATTGACCAATTGAAGAACATTTTCAAACCTATAAAACATTCAACTTCGCCGATACTTAAAAAACTATTTTAGAACTCTGCGCTTTCTCGCTTTAACTTTTCTTTTGAAATATTAAAGGCTTAGACCAAAGTATATAAGCTATTTAACAATAAATTATAAAATATTTTGATGTTTTATTTTAATATTTACACGCTGCACTCTTTAAACTCGTAATCGCACGTGTGCAAACATATTAGAGAATCAAACAGTATCTTTTGCTATCTTACTACTCAAAGGTCGTGGCTACCACACGAGAACCTTCCTTCCCATCAGTTTTCGCAGCTTTTTTCTCACGTTTTTAGTTAGGCAGACGTTGTTCTGCCCTTTTCGACGACCCTTTGTCATGTCCTATTAAAAATCCTTTAATTCGCAAAAAAAATTGTGGGTCACTCATGTCCAAAAAAATACTATCCTATCTCTCAACTTGGACCAAACTGCACACGGTGTGCAAATTTGATTAAAATCGGTTTAATAGTTTAGGAGTCCATCGCGGACAAACAACGTGACACGTAATTTATATATATTAAGATATATATATATATATATATATATATATATATATATTATATATATATATATAAATGTTGAATAACGGAAAATATTAATTTAAAAAAATAGAGCCCACAGTCACGGGGGATGGATGCTTCACAGCATCCATCCCCCGTGACTGTGGGCTCTATTAGCCGCTCGAGATGTGGAATCTCATTAACTCCTTATGCTCCAATAACCTGAAACTTAGCAGTGCTCCGTCGAAACTCGAAACACATTCAGGTCCTATCACTGAATTAACTGATATATGTAATTACTTTAATACTTTCTTCTCTCAGATAGGCTGCAGTCTCGCCAATAAAATTCCATATAAGTATTACAATAATTTCACATACACCAATTTGTACAACAAGCAAATAGATATTACAATTATGGAACTAACACAATATATCCCTACTACAACTGACGAAGTCAACAAAATCATAGACAGTTTAAACTCGAATACTAGTACTGGTCTCGATGGTTTAACGTGTAAAGCCTTAAAATCTATAAAACCTCTTATCTTAGAAAAACTAACAAACCCTATAAATAATTGCTTAGAAAGTGCTTACTTTCCTGATTTCTTAAAACTGGCCAAAGTTAGCCCAATATTTAAGTCAGGTAGTAGAACAGATCCAGGAAATTATCGCACTATCTCAATACTTCCAGTACTCTCAAAAGTATTCGAAAAAGTTTTATACAATCGTTTGGATAACTACCCAGCATCAATTGACTTCATTAACAGCAAACAATACGGCTTTCGCTCCAAATCAAACACTCTTTCAGCCTGCATAGACTTAGTCATACATATACATACATAAATACTCACGCCTGTATACCCCTCTGGGTAGACTGAGACTACGGACTTCCATTTGGCACGATCCTGACATGCCTCTTTCGCCTCCTTTACATCCATATATCTACGCATACATGATCGTCGGTTAAGGGTACTTCTAATGTGGCCCATTTTCAAAATATCGCCAATTTGGTTGATAAACTTTCTTCTAGGGCGTCCCTTCCCGACTCTGCCATTCACATCTGCCATATAAATTTGCTTTGTCACTCTTTCCTCATTCATTCTTTCTACATAACCAAACCACCAGTGGCGGGGGCAAGACCTAAATTTTATGTGGGCAAGATACATTTTGCGAGGCCCTCTGCAAACTGCATGAAACTTTTGTTAAACATTTTCAAAAAAAATTATTTTTTAAATTTTTTAAAAAAAAGATTTTTTAAACTTTCGAGGCATCCAACAAGATCATTAAATAACAACAGTATTGACTTAACTACCTCGATGCTGCTTTCGCACCTCGTGTCAGATTCAGAGATTTCATTATGAGCTCTTATCGACCTTTGATCAATTGTCTACGTTTGCTGGAACCAGAACCAGAAAATAAATATTTTTAATAAAACCAAAAGATATTTTTGCTGCCACACAAGAAAAAAAAGCGTGTACCAAAGAATCCGTTCCAGCTATGGCAACCGCTAAATTTAAAAAATGCCCTGTAATTTATATCTAATATTCAAGTTTTAACTCCATTATACATGCATACCACGACAGTCTTTGAATATTATTTTTACGTGGTAGAGCCATGCTGCAATTATATTAGTATTTTTTTTTTTTTTTTTTTTTTTTTTTCATAGTATAGTTGTAGCACGAATGGGTCGGCTCGACCGGGGAAGAACCACGCTCTTACAGAATACCAGTGTCAAATAGTAGTTTAATACTGCTGTGTTTCGTATAGCGAGTGTAGAGAACCGGAGACCCTTTTTACTGGAAACGAGACATTCCACCTAAGTCCTCGCGGATGATAACGCATCTGCATTTTGATTCGTAATCGAGGAATATTATGCCAGAAACCACTTACCATCAGGTGGGCTGTGGGCTGTGTGCTCGTTTGTCATCCTATCCTATAAAAAAAACATTTTTTGCTAGTTCCCCGAGTATTGCATTACCTATCGTCTCAGTCACAGCAAGAAATCAAATGAAGTTTTCTTCTATAGAACCCGTTAATATATTACAAAATCTTAACTTAACCGACATTTGTTTAATTTTACTACAGTCGCTAGTATATTCAACAAAAAAAGAACAATACTTTGCCTTTTTTATTTTATTGATTCCTTTATCAATAACTGTTTTTGACGTAAATGTAATGCAATCATTTTGAATATCGTGGCTTAAATATTGGTGTGCAATTTGTTTGCCAATTTTGATATCAATTTAAATAAGTCAATGAAGTTACCAGAATTCCTATTTTCTAGTGTCGTCGTCTGTCTAGATAGATGCTCTGATTTCTCTGTGACCTCTAAATGCAAGATTATGAGAGGCAAAGAAATTAATTAATCTCTCGAACAAATTGTACGATGTTTTTGAGATTTACGATTTACTCTCGTTTTCTTGATCTATCGTTTTTCCATGTCTTTCCATTCCTTTCTCTAATGTATTCCATTAGAACATGAATGCCATATTATGTTCTTTGGTATTCACGTATCTCTGCAAAATACTACTAAAATATTTTCAGTCACAACATCCTCCCTGTACCATCTGAGTTTGTGAATTGCCAAATAATCTGCATGGAAAACAGAAAAAAATATTATGAGATTTTGAATAAACTAACAACCGATGATGTCGATTTTCACCATTATTAAGTTTTTTAGAAAAATGAAAATTGAATTGCCTATGATTGTTATCTTTGGGGGTAATCTCTGTCACCATTATTCAATAATTGTGCACCGCCGCTTTGAATTATATAATGACTCTGAGAATCTGTTTCAAGAAGGGTATATCTTCTTGGATCCAAATTAATAAATGCTTCATTGGATGTTGATTTTATTTTTATTTCCGACTGTCGTTCCATATCAGTATTCGATGAGTCTGCATCATTGCTTCCTAAGTTAATCGGAATCTCTAATATGGCTATATGTTTTGTATAAGTTGAAACTCAGACGGTTCTGTACTGCCAGATGCAGTTTGATTGAAACTTCATCATACTTAAATTTGAAGCCAGTTGGTAAACAACGGGCCGTTATAGCGCATTTTTCACTCGGTTGCTACACGCCCACGATTTAAAAAAGTCAGTAATTTATGTCTAAACAAACAGAATGGGGAATCCCAAGCTTTGTCAGCACGCGAAGAGGATTCCCCGCGATAGCAACGAAAACTAATGTTGCTAGACTGAATAAACACGTATTTAATTGTGTCAATAATATATTATCACGACAACAAAAAAATTTTAAGCTTTTAAGTACTGCATAAACCTTGGGACGCGGGGCCCTCCAGATTGCGAGCCCGTAGGCGGTGGCCCACGTCGCCCACGCCTTACGCCGTCTCTGCAAACCACAACCACACCAAGCAAACGTAAAAAGCAATATAGATAAAAAACAAATCGCTCTTGGAGTATTTATCGAAATTCTTACATCAGATTGTTAAAATTCTTAATACTCACAGTACACCTCAACTTATCACTTACGGGGTACCACAGGGCTCTATTCTTGGGCCTCTTCTATTTATCATCTACATAAACAATATTCATGAACTAGGGTTAGCTGGTGATGTGACATTATACGCTGACGATACTAATCTCTTCTACTTTGGAGATAATATACAAACAATATTTAAAAAAAGCTCAAAACGACCTGAATACTCTAACTACATGGTTTCAGTACAACCTTTTGACTATAAATGTATCCAAGACCAATTATATGATTTTCAGTGCTAAGAATGTAGCGGCGCTGTCGTCGCGCCACAAGCGAAACACACCGAAGCCTAAGTCGCACTATCAACATTCCGAATCATAAACAGTATATATAGAACAGCTCCGAACTATCACATGGAGTGTTGGCCGCTCCCCGGGCAGAACACCTTGCCCGGCGGGAGATCTCCCCTATTCCTTCCACGACCACAGTGGTGACCATCCGATGTGATCTGAACACGCAACCAAACAACCTTCGGAAACTTCAAGCTTCATTATCGTCATAGAATACCCCACACATTCGCTCCCGAGCAGATATCGTCTGCAGTCTTCATATCCTGCAAAACCAGCTAGCTTCACAAGGTTCATCGCAGCACTGGAATAATAATGCTTCCTGTTCCTTCAAGGTACTCTCTGCGCTATACAGTGTTCGGCACGGCTCTGAGTCTTACTGCTCGCCTCTGCTTCACCGCACTCTCGCAGATTACTTGCCTTCTTCTCGACTCACCGCAGACTACAAGACAATCTCCTGGCACTTGCACATTCGTCGACAACGAGACTGCACTATCGACCTCCGGTCTGAGCAGGGGGGTGATGTAGCCGGCGCTGTCGTCGCGCCACAAGCGAAACACACCGAAGCCTAAATCGCACTATCAACATTCCGAATCATAAACAGTATATATAGAACGCGCTATCACAT